TTTTATGTCACTGATTAGCATATTTTAATTTCAGCTTGAACTCCTTTCAGCATTTCTTGCAAGGCAGGTCTAATCATGATGAACTCCCTCAGCTTTTGTTTCTCTGGAAAAAGTATTTCTCCTTCATATCCAGACAACTTTCCCAGATAGACTATTCTTGGCTGACAATTTTTTTTTCTTTCAACACTTTGAATATGTCATTCTACTTTCCTGGCTTGTAGGGTTTCTGTTGAAAAGTCTGCTGATAGCCTAATGGGGATTCCTTTGGAGGTTACAATATTTTCTCAGCTGCTTTTAGGATTCTTTCATTTTCTTTGATTTTTGACAGTTTCATTATAATGTGTCTTGGAGAAAGTCTTTTTGCATTGAGATAAAAGGATGAGCTATTAGCTCTGTGAACTTGGATGTCTAAATCTCTCTCCTCAGGTTTGGGAAGTTCTCAGCTATTACTTCTTTAAATACACTTTCTCACCCTTTCCTCTTCTGTTCTTCTGGAACACTGATTTTGCTCATATTTGTATGTTTCAATGAATTCTATAGATCATGTAAGCTTTCATCATTTATTATTATTTTATTTTTTCTGTTTGCCTCTGAGTTATTTCAAGATTTCTGTCATCTAGGTTGTTTATTCTGTCTTCCATTTGATCTACCGAGCTGCAGAGGCCCTTATTGATTTTTTTCATTCATTAAATTTTTCAGCTCCAGAATTTGTTTGGTTGTTTTTCATTGTTTCTATCACTTTGATACACTTCTTGTTTTGGTCATGTAGGGGTTTTTTTGAAAAATTTTGTTGAATTGCCTGATTTTGCTGAATTGTCTTTTATATTTGTCTTTCATTGTTTCCTCAAAAACAGCTATTTTAAATTTTTATACACTAGATTGCAAAATTCTGTGCCTTTGAGTTCAGTTACTTGAAGGATTGTTATCTTTTGGTGATAAAATTTTTTTCCATGTTTTTTAGTTTTGCATTACCGATTTTACCTTTGATGTAGTGGACAGCTCTTCAAATCTTTACTAGTTGTCTTCACTTGAAGTAAACTGTTGAGCCTGTTATATCTGGGGTACTCTCTGACCTTGTATTATATACATGCTCCGTACTTCTCGCTTCTTTTATAGCAGAATTTTTAAGCTTTTATGTCTTTTTTGGTTTTTACAACTCACCTGGCTGGTTGCTGGAAACCTCTGTTTTGTTTTCCAGAAGGTGGTACTATAGGTCAAGTTTTTGGTTTCTTTCTTGCCCACAGATCCTGTTCTATTTTTCTGATAGCACTCTATTTACCAAACTTACTTGCTGCCAATCTTGGAGAATGTGCAAGGAGCCACCACAGAGTGGGGGCAGATATGGGTTTAGCATTTGGGGTGTTGGGGTGCCTTGCCAGCAGGTAGAGATGCTCCTGGGTGGACTTCCTGCTGAACTCCTGAGTGCAATCAGCAGTAACCCTGTCATTGTAATGCCCTTTGATATTTTTACCTGCCTCTTCAGATCTCCTCCCTACCTCCAGTCATGGTGTTCCTGCTTCAATACTCCAGGTGTTGCTGGAGAGGAATGTGTTTGTCCTGCAGCATCCAGCATAGTTGGGGTAACTGGGCACTTACACACTGCTCTCTTCTTCCCCCTATGGAGAGGTCTCCACAGGACAGTCAAGCCTATGCTTTGTCACATAAAGGGAGGCACAGTGCTAGAAGTTTCTCTTCCCCTTTCTCAGTCCATGGAACGACACTCAATCCACTGAGCCACACCAGCTTCTCTTCCCCTTTCTGCTGAATCCCAATTAATTTTCTTTGTTTGCTTGCCCCAGTGGTGTGCTAGAATCTCCCCTCTAGAGGGATGGATTCACAAATTTTCTCTGTCTGCCAGTATTTTCTCAAGTCAGCACTCTCCAGGTTTCCCCCAAACTGCTCTGGGAGGGGTTGGGGCAGGTTTGCTGGCTCTGCTACTACTGTAGCCCAAGCCAAGGTCTTTTTGCCTATGACCAGATGAACAGGGGGCCTGGGTCCCTGGGCACATGTCGGAACACAAAACTCCCACAGAGGAACTTTTGTTTGTGGATGTGTGCCTAATTAGTTGTTAACAAGGTGGGGGACAAAGAGTAGAGGTGGCTTGCATGCCCCAATGCTGATGTCACTGCCCTTTCCTGCATTGACATTGCTTGTTGATTACCCTTGTATTCACTGTTGGTGTTTTCTGTTTTCTTCTCTACTCTTCTCTTTGTACCTATAATTTTTATTTGTTTTATTTACTTTCCTGTCATTTTGGTGGGGGTTTCAGAGAAAAGGAAGGGTTATAAACACGTATGTTCAATAAGCTGTGTATAGACTGATAGAGCCTTTTGGGGTACAGTTTAGAATGCATAAAATTTCAAAATGCCTTTGCCCTTTGATGCAACTATTTCTAGATAATTGTAGAAATAATTCTGCTTGTGTATAAAGAGATGTATACAAATACACTGATTCTTGCATTGATCATAATAGTGAAAATTTGGAAACAATTTATATGTTATCAATAAGGAAATGGTTAAATAAACTTTGATAGGTCTATACTACAGAACACTATGCAGCAGACAAAAATAATGCTTCCCTGGCCAGGTGGCTAAGTTGGTTGGAGCATTGACCTGTGCACCAAAAGTTTGTGGGTTTGATTCCTGATCAGGGCACATGCCTAGGTTGAGGGTTCTATCCTGGTTGGGGCATATATGGGACACAACCAATCGATGTTTCTCTGTCATATCGATGTTTCTCTTTCTCTCTCTCTTTTTCTCAAATCAATAAACATATCCTCGGGAAAAGATGAAAAAAGGAGTTTAAAAAAAGAATACTGTTGAGATGTATGAAAATCTCTCTAAGAAGTATTCTTAAATTTAGAAAGAAATGTTTATCATTTATGATCCCATTTATAGTCTTAAAAGAAACCCCACAAAACAATATATATTTACACTCATACTTACCAGTGTATATGGGTTATGGAAAACTAAATTGCTGGTGTCAATTGTAGGTCCTGTTAGATTGACCATGCCCTGTGACTCAAAGCCAGGCATGCCCCATGTTCTCACACTTACCTAGAAAGGGAAGCTGTTCACCCAAAGGCTCTTACTCCGTTGAGCACATAATATAGAAATCATCACTGGTACACTAAGCATATTGCTTAGCTATAGAATGATTATTTTCTTCTCCCACCAAGGAAGAGCTCAAATTCCTCTTCTGAAAATTAACCTGACAAGGTCATCCAAAATGCTTACACTAGCTTTCAATATGTGATTGTATAAATTATCTATTATTCCATAGCAAGTGACCTCAAAACTTAGTGACTAAAGCAACATACATTCATTATGACTCAGTATCTGTGAGTCAGGGGTCTGGGATTGGCTTGGCTGGGTTCTCTGGTTCAGCATCTCCCACAAGGTTGCTGCAAGGCCAGGGCTGTGGTCACCTCAAGGCTCCACCAGGGGATTCACTTCCAAGCTCACTGACATGGCCGGTGACATCACTCAGTTCTTTGCAGGCTGTTAACCAGAGGCCATGCTTAGTTCCTTGCTATGTGGGCCTCTCTGTAAGGTGGCTTGCAACATGGCAGGTGTCTTCAACAGAGTGAGCAACTGAGAGAAGCCAGAGAAAGAGCATGAGTAAGTTGGAAGTTAGTCTTATGTCAGCTAATCTTGGACTCATCCATTACGTTTGCCATATTCTATTAGTTGGAAGTAAGTCACTGGGTCTAGCCCACTAGGTGCAGCCCTCAAAAGGAAAGTCTTGCCTAACAGTGTGAATACCAAGAGGTGGGGGGCATCTTAGAAGCTGCCTACCTTTGTTGATAAGGCCTGCAATGGTATATTTAGCATAAAGGAGACCATCTGACTTTGGCTTTATTTATAAATTTGTCATCAAAAAAGAAGAAGTAAGCCCTGGCCGGTTTGGCTCAGCGGTTAGAGCATCGGCCTGCGGTCCTGAGAGAACCGGGTTCGGTTCCCGCTAAGGGCATGTACCTCGGTTGCAGTTTGTCCCCGGCCCTGGTTGGGTTGTGTGGGTGGCAACCACTCGATGTGTCCCTTCCGTTTTCTCTCTCTCTCCCCCTCGCATGAGCTGCCTACAAATGTGATTAACTGGTTTGTTCAAGGATTTGCAGGAGTAAATTCAGAAGCAACAATTTTTCTCATATAGGCTACAATAAGCTTTAGACAGATATATCTCTTAATCAAATGACATCTAAGCACAGTTGCTTGCTTATAGTAGGTGCTAAATAGTTTTAACTTTTCATTTTGAAATAATTTCGAAGTTAAATTTGCAAGAATAGTAAAAGAATCTCATATAGTCTTTACCCAGATTCACCATTGGTGGGTAATTATATTTTGAATAGTATGTATTTGTCACACAGAATGGTAATACGTATTTGTAACAATAAAAGTTTAGGGTCTGGCCCTGGCCAGTTTGGCTTAGCGGTAGAGCGTTGGCCAGGGCAACCAGTGGGTCGTGGATTCAATTCTGGCCAAGCGCAGGTGCCTTGGTTGTGGTTTGTCCCTGGCCCTGGGGCCCTGGGTGGGGTCCTGCGGGAGGTGACCAGTCCATGTGAGGTGACCAGTCGATGTGTCCCTCTCATGTTGATGTTTCTCTTTCTCTCTTTCCCTTTCTCTCCCTCTCTCTCCCTCCCACTCTGTCTGAAGATAAATAGAAAAATATCCTTGGGTGAGGATTAAAAAAAACAAAACAAAATAAAAACCCCCACAAAAGTTTGAGATCTGGCCCTGGTAGTGTGCTCAGTAGACTGAGCTTCTCCCATGGACCGAGAGGTCCTGGTTTGATTCCTAATGAGGGCACATGCCCAGGTTGTGAACTGACCCCCAGTAGGGGTGGTGCAGGAGGCCGCCAATCCATGTATCTCTCTCCCTTCCTCTCTCTCTAAAAAATTAATAAAAGCATATTTTTAAAAAAGCTTTGGGGCCTGCTGAGAGGTGTGCAAGGTGGGCTGGAGTGGTCATCTCTCAAACGCTCTCTTCTGTGTCCTCCCCCAGAAAACCCAGAGCGAGCAGCCCTGTACTTCGTCTCCGGCGTGTGCATCGGGCTGGTCCTCACCCTGGCTGCCCTGGTGATGAGGATCTCTTGCCACACGGACTGCGGGCGGCGGCGCTCCCGGAGGTTCCTGCAGGACCAGGAGAGCAGCAGCGACAGCAGCGACAGCGAGGATGGCAGCTCGGACTCGGCGTCTGACATCTCGGCCAGGAGACACCGCCGCTTTGAGAGGACTTTGAACAAGAACGTCTTCGCGTCGGCGGAGGAGCTGGAGCGCGCGCAGCGGCTGGAGGAGCGGGAGCGCATCATCAGGGAGATCTGGATGAACGGCCAGCCCGAGGTGCCCGGGACCAGGAGCCTGAACCGCTACTACTAGGCGCAGGGCAGGACCCGGCACCGCCGACAGCTGCCCGCCGGCAGGGAGAAGGGCTGCAGGGAGGGTGGGCACCGAGAGCCGGGCGCAGTTCTGCTAAGGTTGCTGCGGACTCCAGAGACTAGCAGGACACCCCTGTTTTCTAGTCAGGAGGACTGATTCCTCCTTTTGACTAAATTTATGGAGAAGTAGAAAAACCAAGTCGGTTCATCAACCTTTCCAGGTCTTGGAATGGTGCTGAAGTCCCTCTCCAACAATGTGGATGGGGATTGGAGAAACAGGACTGTGGTTTCTCGTGATTTCTGAGGATCTCAGAAGTTTCTGCAGACTGCACTACGTGTTACTCCTTTGCAAAAGGAAAGATGATCATAGCATGAGGGCTAGAACAGCAGAGTGAACTTCACCCAGTCAACACCATTTTCTACATGACCCCATGCTGTGGAGGGGATTCTGATCCAGAGAACATGATCCATGCTCATTATTTAAGGCTGATTTTTTAAATCGTGTGTTGCAATGGCAACGTCATCCATTTTTAACTGGCACCTCAGGGATTAAAATCCTATTTTTTAGTATAGTTTCCACTTCACTCATGAAAATGAATAGAATTATGTATTATGGGAGATGTGTCAGTAAACTAGACAATGTCAGTAACCTCAGAGGATGAAGGGTTTTATTTTAAATAGTTTATTAAAATATATATATTAACATGGATATTTGAAAATGCTGCATAAGAATAAAAGCTGTGCCCCCCCCCCTACTTTGGAGAGAAGAACACTTTGTTATGATTCTAGATAATCATGATTTTAAACATTTTGTTAAAAAAAAACAAGTTTGTATTTCCAAGAAAAGAATTGGAATTTTGGAAGGGAGGAAACAATAAATGTTACATAAAATCTTTTTCAATTTCAGTTCTTTCTCTGTGGTTATTTTAATGGCAGCCCTGTTATATAGGTGGATTTGGTCTTTTGCCAGGCCTTTCAAATAACTGGGGAATTGGTAGAAATGGAGAAACTGGAAAATGGAAAAATGGCCCCTGTGTGACTAGGGGCTTTCCATTTTCTGTATGTTATGATTGCTGTAAAGTTGAGTAATTGTTAAGCAGATAGAGAACTGGAAGGCTTACCTAAGGCTAGAAATAAGACAGTGGCCCTAATATGGAGAGAAGTTGGTAGGGAAGGAAGAGAGAGAGAGCTGTGCACATTAGAAATAGATTACAGAGGAGGAAGCAGCCTCCTGATAGAAATAGTGAATTCTGTCTGTCTGTCCGCTCCCTTCTCTTGACACTCAGTGGGTTCCATAACCTGTGTGGATGCTTCCAAGCCTTCCTACTGGGAGGATCTCTCCTGTCCTTTGGCTTCATCACCTTGCCTGGGAGGATGGTCTGGAGACTTCCTCTGCTGGGGTCTCTACTGCTTTAGCAACCTACTCTCTGAGATAGGTGCTTGGAGGGCTGTCTTAAGAAGTGAACAATCACAAATCTCTATTTGCCAAGGGGGCAGTACAGTGTACTTGAAACCCTCAATAGCTGGCCTGATTATATCATGTTGGGTGGCCTCCTTGACTAGTAACAATTGCCAAAATTACCATCTCTGAATCTGTGTTCCCACCCTTGTGGTTTCAGTCCCTTGACAGCAACGCAAGGAACCGTCCTGTTTCCCTGGGCTTTATTTTTACTTTATTTTATTTTTTCCGTAACCATTTATTTCTCTATGCCCTCTTCCACTCCCCCTAATCCCTCTCCACCCCCACCCTGTTTCCCTGGGCTTTAGATGGACAGATCTATCTTAGTCTCTGTCTCATAGACAAATGAAACGATGGGGCGCTGCTTCCATCCCCTGAATGCACCCAAAGCTGGCAATGGGGAGGGGTACGACCCTTGTGAGGCAGGGGCTACTGGGACTGCAGTGGTGGAGGTGTGCTCTAGGGCTCCTGGCTTTCCCAGTTCTCCAATATCCTGATGTCTTTCTATCAAGTTCATAAAGTTTCCATGTTTAGGGTGGTGGGGCTTTGCCTGAGGGAAAATGCACTAGGTAGCAGTTCAACTCACGGCTTTACTTCTATATACCAGGGATTCCAGCTTTTCAGCCAAAGATAGGGAGGCCACTGCTATGTTACCTACCTTGACTCAAGCAGTTTCACAGATTACGTCTGTCACTCACTCCTGGTTCCAGTTTCTGTGAGGACACTTTAATTTGCAGCCGAAAGATACTCAACGTAAGAGCATTTATTGATTTATATAACTGGGAAGGGCAGCATTAACTCCAGCTTCAGGGATGACTGGGTCCTAAGGCTCACATGCTGTCAGTCTCTCAGCTCTCAGATCTCTGCTTCTCTCTGTTGCTGATCTCATGTTCTTCCACTTTAGATGAAACTAACACACATGTACCAGTGTACTGTGTTAGACTGCTTGCTACAGATCAAGCTCCCACACAGGGTGTGTGTGTGAGTGTGTGTGGCACAGACTCACAGCTTGCCTACCTCAGAAGACAGCATGAAAGGGATGCTTTTGGTACAGCTTCCCTGGTCATCTTCTGTGGTTCCACAGAAACGCACTAGCTGACAGTTGAACATCTGAGAAGACGTTAGGCAGTGTAGGTGCCTTAGAGAGCTACAACCAACTTGCCTTAAGAGCCTCTTTCTGTGCTGCAAGACACAGGTGGTGATTATTACCTCGTGGCACATGTAAACCCACTCAGCTAAACCTTCGCCATTGGCAGAGAGTGCGCCATAGGCACTTCTGGGTTTACATCATTCCAATATAAAGGCACAAAAGGAAACATGTTACTTCATGGTTCAAAATTAAAATCACAGGGAAGGAATTCTTGGCCTATCTTGTGTAGTGTGGCCATCCATGGACCAGCCCTTGTGGCCCAGAAGATAGGTCTGTCTAAGAAGAGAGTAGAGATAGTGTTGAACAGACACTAGCAATAGCCACTCTACCACCCTTTTCATTCTTGGTTTTCCTACTCTCTCTCTTGATTTTTCTTGTTTAGTTTTCTTAATGTTCTCTTTTTTCCTTACTTCCTTCAATATGGGTCTGTGCTTCTAACCTAGACCTTCTAGTCTTCTCATTCCAAATAGCCCAAGACATCTCGTACATTGCAATGTCTCTTCATGATCTCCTACATGCTGATGATCTGCAATGTTGTTCTCCAGTCCTGGCTAAATTTCAGACTCATATAGCCTACTGTTCTTCAACCATTTCCAACAGGACTTAGTTGTCCTTCAGGCCATATTGGCAATGTCAGACATTCTGGTTTTCCCAATGAATGGGTGGGATGCATTTGTTATCTTGTAGGTAGGGGGCAGGGATGCTGCTAAACATTCTACTATGCTAACCTCAACCTTCCAATCATTCCCATCAAAGACCCAGAATGTTAGTGAAGAAATCTCATGATTTCAGCCATAGGATTCTTTCAAATCAAAGCCTCAGGTGTGATAGAATAGACAAATGTTTCTGCTGAGCCCTTTCCAACATTTTGACCTGTGGAATCCATGAGCATAATAAATTGGGGGTTGTTTGATGTCACTAAGTTTTGAGGTGGTTTGTTACACAATATATGACTGGACAATTTTCCAAACTGCACTCATCTCCTCCCAGACTACTGTTCTATCTATATTTTTTTTTATAGGTATATGTTTCTATTTCAGTCTATGACAAAACAAGTTACAGGGTTACTTAATTTAGAAGCTTGGGACTGATTCCAGTCTCTTCTTTTAACCCTTACATAAAACCAACGAGCAAATCTTTCCAATTTTAAGTTATTTATATTTCTTGCATCAATCATTCATTTACAATATAGTTCAAGCCCTTATAATTTCTTCCTGGACAACTTTAAAAATCTCCAAACTCTTCTCTGAGTCTTGCCTCCCTCAAAGTCATCCTGAATATTGATACCAAATTGATCTCTATTAAATGTGTTGCTGCCCATGTGTTCATCCCTCCCACACCCCAGTTTCTTCTTGTTGCTTATTGAAAATGTTCAAATGCCTCTAGATATTGTGCCAGGGTCCCCATTACAGGTCCCCACAGCTTCATCTACTGCTCCTCTTTCTTGCCTATTCCTCTCATTCTAATGGTATTGAATTGCTTATAGCTCTCTTCCACACAGAATAATCTATTCCGATCATTTTTTTTTTTTTTTTTTTGCTTAAAACACCTCCCCCAATCTCTTTCTCCCACTCCTCTACTCAACCTTGAGGTTCAGCACAAGAGTTTCATCTACCAGGAAGATATCCAAGTCTTCTCCAAGCTGGGCTAAGTATCATCCTCTGTTTCCGTGTATGCTGGGCTTGTTGTGATCATTGCTCTTACCACACTGTTGTGAAATTATCTGTGTCTCAAAGGCAGTGAGTCTGTCTTGTTCTCTTCGGTCCCAGCAGGATACACAGAGCCTGCCACATTGTATGCTTTCAGCAACTACTTATTGAACTGTAGTAAAGACTGTAATGCATTCACCAAAACACCATTTCTTTTGCCTCCTGGACATATAAATGGGCTACCTTTCCCATTCTCTCTTGTAGTTAGCTGTGGCCATGTGACCAAGTTCTGCCCAATGGATTATAGCAATCTTTCCTAAGTAACATTTGCATTGTGATGTTGCCTGGTTCATAAAATTTTCTACATGATTCTTTTATACTCCCTTTCTCCCTATGTGCTGACTGGATGCACTGGATCCAGCAAAGAATTCTGAGGCTCTACAATGGTGCTGGAGCCACAAAATAGGAGGGACTTGGGTTTCAAATGATGATACACAGGAAGCCACCCACCGACCAGAAACTTGCACATTGTACTTTGTGTGAGCAGAGAGATGCTGCTGAAATAAATTCCTAAAGGCCAGAGGACTCTTGAAGTCCCTGGTTCTAACCCTCTATTTCTAGATAGGCTTACTCCTAATTGGGTCATCGTGAGTAGAATTGATCTTAAATCTTCAGAGGGCATTCCATAGGTCAAAGTAACCCTCTTGGGAGATATTTTTCTTTACTACTTTTAAGTTCCTTTTAAAAAAATTTGTATACATATATATAGTGAAATAATTATCACCATACAGTTAGCTAACACATCCTTCATTCACATAGTTACCGTGTGTGTGTGTGTGTGTGTGTGTGTGTGTGTGGTGAGAACATTTAAGGTCTATTCTCTTAGCAAATTTCAAGTATACAATACAGAATTGTTAACTATAGTCATCATGCACATTAGATCCTCAGAACTTATCCATTTTATAACTGAAATTTTGTACACTTTGATCAACATCTCCCTATTTTTCTACCCCTTCCCCAACCCAGGAACCACCAATCCACTTTCTGTTTCTGTGAGTCCAACTTTTTTAGGTTATAAGTAAGATCACGCAGTATTTCTCTTTCTATCGGGCTTATTCCACTTAGTATAAAGCCTTTAAAGTTCATCCATGTCATCACTAATGTTAGGATTTTCTTCCCACGGCTGAATAATATTCATCTATACATAGTTTCTTTATTTAGTCATTCCTTGATGGACACTTAAGTGGATTTCATGACTTTGCTATTGTGAATAATGCTGCAATGAACATGGAGGTGCAGATATTTCTTCCAGATAGTGAATTCATTTCCTTCGGGTATATACCCAGAAGTGGAATTGCTGGATCATATGTTCGTTTTATTTTTAACTTTTGAGGAAACTCCATACTGTTTTCCATAGTGCTGTATGAATTTATGTTCTCAATGACA